GTACCGACCAGTAGTTTCTTGGCGCGGTACCTAACGGTAGTGTTTTGCGTTCGGGCAGACGGGTTCCCATAGGCTGCCCGTGATGTGAGTACTTTTTCGTGGCGGCGTGTACTGTTTTTGGGTGGGGGTGTGCCTTTTTGGTGGCGGCATGGGCAAACTCTACGGCGTGGGAAAGACCCACCCCTATGCTACTCTACTCTGTACTATAGACTTCTACTTTCCTATCCTATCCTACTACGCTCGACTTTGACTTCACTACCACGCTCAACTTCGCCTTGGCATGTGAATACACACACACACGACATCCGGGCAGACTGTCTCGGTTCAACCTCCTGATGAGTCGGTGAAAGTCCGACAAAACAGCCTCGCTTAGTCATGCCCACGCACGCAGTCGCAAGAGAGAGAGAGAGAGAGAGAGAGAGAGAGAGAGAGAGAGAGAGAGAGAGAGAGAGAGAGAGAGAGAAACACACCCAGACTGAACACACACTACGCTTTTTAATGTGCCGGAGGTTGAGCTCCGCATCCTGAAGGTTGGACGCTGACTGACGGTGAGTTAACTCCACTTTGTTATTGATGTCTATTGCTTTCGTTTCTTTGTTCGCTTCAGACTACGAGCATGTGTGTGTGTGTGTGTGTGTGTGTGTGTGTGTGTGTGTGAGAGAGAGAGAGAGAGAGAGAGAGAGAGAGAGAGAGAGACGCTCGACCTTGCTACTCTCCTGTACAATGTTATGACGAACCGCATACTCCCCTGCTGTGACGACCTGCCCCCTCCAATCAAACTAACTACCCCCAGGGGAGATCAGGTCTGAAAACTTCTGCTGCTAACACTACGCAAGAGAGAGAGAAAAAGAGAGAGAGAGAAAGAGAGAGAGAGAGAGAGAGAGAGAGAGAGAGAGAGAGAGAGAGAGAGAGAGAGAGAGAGAGAGAGAGAGAGAGAGAGGCATCTGCGCGATCGATCGCCGTGGCATTCGGGAGAAGAAGCATATCTAATCTCTCTCTCTCTCTCGCAATTCGATCGAGGTGGCATGTCTTGCTACCATGATTGATCGATCGATAGAGGCGTGAAGGGCGTGCGCGCACACGAGAGATAGATAGATAGATAGATAGATAGAGAGATAGAGAGATAGAGAGATAGATAGATAGCTGTCTCTTATACACATCTAGATGTGTATAAGAGACAGGAGAGAGAGAGAGAGAGAGAGAGAGACTTGCAATACTGGGCAACACATGCGAGGCTTTACTTTCACAGAATACATGTCCTGTCCATGGCATGCGACAAAAAACGCCGCGATTACCCTTCTACCTCTCTGCTCAGGTAATCTTTTAAGTCATTATCACCACTATTTATACATCCTAAGATCCAACTACTCCTCGTTGCAGATAATTCGTGCACCCTATGGAACAATGGCAGCAGGGTGCACACAGTGGGAAATATTAACTCTTTCTATCACCAAATGCTGGAGGGTCACTCAGTTTGGCTCGTCCATCAGGAACAGTACGTCGATGAGCATTTGCAAGCACTGCTACCACAAACAGTGGAAGGACCTCTCCACAGGATGATGGCTGTGCCCTCCTGTTTTGTCGTCGCACAGGTGCAGTTCGGTTGGCATGTACACGACATAGCCTATGCTCCGAACATTATGAAGGGATGGTCGCTGCTAGCCTCTCACACGAAAATTGTGATCCCTTGTCCTGTGCTGATCCCCCCCACCCCCTGATTGCTTGCCCAGCATGCCGCTGTGGCCTTGATCTGCCATGCTTAAATAACTGTGCACATCAGCCTTCCATACTAATGACATGTCAGCAACGTGCCATGTGTCGTCAATGCTTCCAGGAAGCTGTTATAGAAAGCATGTGTCTTTACTGCGTGGACTATCCCCGTTGCCATCACCCTCCACATCCTCTCCTACCATGTCCCACATGCGGTGTTGGTCATACACCTACGGCAACCACTGACAGATCTTCCTCTTTCTTGCCAGACAAACGACGAACACACCAGTCGGAGGAGGAAAGTAGACTTCTATATGAACCACCGGCAGAGCGATGTGCTCATAGTTTATCACCACCAGGGCGAGCTGTTGTGGATCATATCCTGCAGCAGCTGAACGCCCTTTCATTGGACTGATCCTCCCTGTCGTCGTCTGCCCATAGAGAAGGTATACATACTGAGGAAGCCCGAGAAAGATGCTCCATGCCGTTTTGTGATGACCCACCGGAGATTCAACTAGCATGTGGTTCGAATGGCTTGTGCTGTGAGGATTATGAAGGGACAGTTCATGCGAGTTTTTGCTTCCATATGTACGATGACAGTCAGTACTGTACTCATGTACGGCACCACGACATGTCATGTCCAATTTGTAGACACGGGCTGGAACGGCAATGCCTCTATAATTGTGGTCGATGTGCCTCTGTGTTCCTAGCATGTACGCGCCACGTAGCTTGTGACATCTGTCTGCGCCGTGCCATTCGATGCAGCAACTGTGACTGTGAAAATTGGATGCGGTGCTTCCATAGCCCACACCCAAACCGGTCCTGTCCGGTCTGCAGGGGTGGCCACTTGCCATAGTTTTTTTTGTTTTCTTCTTTTTTTTTTTTTTTT